GCATCTAGCAAGAGCAGGAAAAAATAATGTCAGATGGCTAAAGGAATCAGGAGATCAGGCTTCTCCTCCCAACTCTGCTTCTGAGTCATTATTAGCATAAAATCAGGTTTGTTACATCACTGAAGCTTGAGTAAATAAACCAAGACTCATCACTGTTTTATTTTGCAATACCTCAGTGGGCTCCTCTCTGTACAAATAAACACTAGTAATGTTCATTGCAATTGCAGGTATATGGGGAAGGAGAGCAATGAAGCTCCTAAAACAGTCTAAAACCTTTAAGAAGAGCAGCAGGGCGAAATGACAGAATTTTTGAAGGTACTGATTTTCACAGTCCCTGCATTTAAAAAAAGTAAAAAGACGATCCTTACTTGGGGAGACTAAGAGACAAACAAGCCCTGCCTTGAGGAGCCTGCTCTGACAATGCTGACGGGTAAGAAAGATTGGGAAACAGAATCTCTTCTGAGGAACCAAGGCTGAAATCCTGACTCCAATGAGGTTGTTTATGACAAAACTCATCCTCGCTTTAATAGTGCCAGGATTTCACCTCCATAATTTGAAGTGTGAAGGCAGAATCCATGAGAAAGAGATGGACATCATCACCACCAACGGCTCTAGGAGACTGAGAGCACCACAAAGTCAGAGGAATGACTGAAGGCAGCTGGGAAAGCAAGGTATGAATTAATGCAGGCCTGGCCCAGTCCTGTCCCCTCCAGTACTGAACATCCCTCTTCCATCTGAGTTTTTGGAGCAGACTGGCTCTGCTATGTGACAGTCTGCCAGGCAACTGTTGGCACTTGCCTAAGCACCTAAGCACCCTAAAGGGCTAAGCTGCTGAGATCTGTGCAAGCATCTCCCCACACTAGAGCTGTCTGCACACAGAGCTCCTTCGGCAGTTGGGCAGATTCCCGCTCAGAGGACTGCCCCATTGCCTGGAAACCTCTGGCTAGCTTTTGCTCCTTAGACAACTAGTTCCCCCTCATGTGGGCCGCTGTAGGCGCAAAATCACTAGGTGCTTGACACAGCAGGGGTTTTTGAAGGGCTTGCAGCTATGCTTAACTTTAGGTTCAAACCACAGTCCTTGTGCACCCCTCAAGAGCCTTATAAACGTTCCTTCTTCGAACACTGGCATCAGGGCCCTCCCTTGAACCTCTGAGCCTTTCAGCCTGCTCAGATTCCTCAGCCAGACCTGGCCTTCAATCATATTGATGATGCCATATTAGCATCCCTCATCACTCAAACGAACAGGAGGTGCTAAGGACCTTACTGGATCTGGCCTCAGTCCCATTGCAGGATCAGCTATGGTAAGGATGGTTATCAGACCTGCTGAGCACATGATACTCTTTC